ATGTATGTATGTGGGTATATGAATAACGACCGCTTAAAATCGATTTCAAAGTTCTACTTTCGCTGTAGAAATTTTAGGTCTACGTTATGTAGTTTGACTATTGTCAATTAAATCGAATGCTTTGTATGCATGCGCTCCACGTTTTTCAGTTTCAATTTCATAGATTATTTATAATGACTTTTGCTAAAATTTCAAAATCAAAAGTTATCAAAACAAATTCTATGGGACTGAGAAATATTATTTTCTACTTTTTAGTCCATTTATAAAAGCGTTGTATATTAAAAAGTTTTTTTATATTATTTATTTTAGTGTAATTATCACTTTTGTAATATTTTAACCTACAATGTAGTATGTGATTTTTTGTTATATATTGGCAATTTATGCTTCATATAATTTATGATTGTGCCAAAACAGGATGAATTGTGCCAAAAGTGCTTCTGAGAATGAAAGTGCCAAAAATGGCACTATTGTGTCCACTTTTCCATCACTGCCCTACATACATAGCAGAGAATGTTTATGCAGTTCTGGCGCTCCTCTTTTTAAACGTGTTTTTACAGTTCTCCTTCTCTGTGGTCCACATTAACTGTTATACTATAAAAATTTACCATCCACTGGCTTCCACAACATTTCCCTCTTTCAATGAACTTAGTTTCGCACTGTCACCGTCGGATGGCGCTGTTGTTTAGAAGAGTTCCACTTTGACAGCTGACGTGCTACCTGGGAACTGTCAAAAATAGCAATTTTAGTTGACAGCGAATTTTCATGCGGGTTGTGTGTGCGGAAGTGTTTTACGATAATTGATTTGTTGGTGTACCATAGCATTTCGACAATGCTAACAAAAATTGCAATAGTTTAGCAATAAAAAAGCATTTTTCTTAATGCAATAGCTGTAAATAAATTGCGGGAGAGTGTGGAGGTACCAGAAAACAGCCGTAAAAGTGTAAAAAATTGTCTACTTAGGCGCAGCCGTGGAAAAGTCCATTTGTTTACATCTTTCGTGTCAGCTGCAGTTCAATAACAAGAAAAGAAAAAAGTGCGAAGTGTCAAAAAAAGAAAAGAAAAGTTCGCGAGCGTCTGGATAAATATTTAGTTTTGTTTATATTTTATCGCAAAACTGAATACAAGTTATTAACAGTGTTGCCGTTTTGACTATATACTTCAAAAGTAACACGTCTTTGTGCAAATTTTGGGAAGATACTTTATTTTTTCGCTCATTTCGCGTGATACTTAAATTTTTGGGAAACGTTTAGCTATTTGTACAACGATTTAGTGGTGTGGGCGGAGGGGGAGGGGGCGTGGCTCCCCAAATCCCCTCTAAACGAAGGAGGATGAACGCCGCTTTATGAAAAGTAACCCTCATCCCCCTCCCCCCCAAAATACGCCTTGAGAGCTGTTTGAAAATAGGGGTATTTTAGATTTTTTGCAAGGAAAAAACAAAGTTAAACTTGCGTCCGAAGAAGGGGGGCTGAACACCTTTTGCAGAGAACACCTTTCTGCGTAGGGGCCTTCGGCCGCGCTTAGGGATTATAACCCTTACTACGTAGAATTCTCCTTTCTGTAACCTTGGGAAAGGATGAGGTAACTAGAATTCCCTTTCTGTGTGGTAAACCTGGGGCTGCCGCCCCAGTGATGTCTATTTTGGTTACTGGTTGTTTTATAAAAATATCCTGTATATAAAAATGTTTATACAAATTTATAACAAAAATTTGCAACAAATACTATATTTCCAACCAACATTATTGTTAAATTAGTCCACAGATTTAGTAAATTAAATTTTTGTAATAAAGCGTGAACTGTTGTCTACAAGTGTGTGTAAAAGTTTTTTGATTCGATTCACGCGTTTGGGCACAGCAAGCCAAAATCGTTGTACAAATTCATAAACAGTACCCAAATTTTTTCGCGGGGAAACTCCAATATGTAGGTCCCTAGGGAGCTATTAGAAAAATGACCAAAAATCACAATTTTGCGTTTCGCTTGTTTTAAGCAAATGAAAGCACTGACTTGTATCAAAACGCAGCAAACACTTGGATTTGTACAAAAATTTATAATTTAGATATTAAAGTTTATATTAGCGATAATAAAAACAATGGCCCGTAGTTATAGTCAAAATATTTCATTTTTATGTATTTATTTATTAAAGTCATTTGACCTATATACATTCACGTATATACATTTGAATTATGTATTGCAATATACAATAAAAGTAAAGTTAAATTTACTGCTTAAAATACGTTAACCTGTTAACTGTTTCCTTCCAAGCTATATAATAGTATGTATATTTAACTAAGATAGCATATTCTCGATGCTGTTGGAATGGACGGGATTCCAAGCAGTACTGTAAATATATCACGTACGATATGCGGTCTAAGAGTGTAATTTCCAGAGCCGCCACAACTGAGCGGTTGGAAAGGACTAGTTTCCAAGCCGCTTCTTATAAACTTCTCTACCGGCAGGCGATCTGAATGGACGAAATCCGGAGTCGCGCCATTTGATCGGACGGAAAGGACTAGTTTCCATGCCGACCTTCTTATTTCATACATTATGGGTGATCTGAATGGACTAAATCCAGAGTCATCCAGCCAGTACGGATGGAAAGGACTAGTTTCCATGCCGGACCTTTCTATCTGATATCCAATGTTCTACAGTGATCAAGTAGCAGCCTTTTGAAGGTACCAACGTTTTCGCAATTTTGTATTTGAGCTGGAAGTTCATTATAACATTTTAATCCCTTATAAAAGATATTCTTCTTATCTATTTCCATTTTATACAGCGGCAGCCTGAAACTATTATTTCCCCTGAGTAAATACGAATGGGTTTCACTATTATATAGTAGGATATCACTCAGATAATCTGGGAATCTACCTTGTTTTATGTTAAACACGAATTTCATAGCGTGATAAAAATTTTGCTCAGCCTGTTTAATTCTGCGACCATTTCCTGTATGGGCCTGTCGTACCGCTTGTTCAAGATAAATCGCATAGCCCTATTTTGCATTTTTTGAAGCTTATCTATTTGTGTGTCGCTTGCTATAAAAAAGATAGTTGGACAGTATATGAAATGTGGTTCAACTATAGATCTGTAGACCAAAGTCTTATACCTCCTTCCTACGTTCCCACGACAGTCGGGTCTACGTAACCGGAACGACCCAGATTTATATCTGTCACTGACTGTCACTCCAGCAACACTCCCCAAAAAGTCTTTGGGGAATTTGTATGCTGCTACAACAACAACAACCTCCTTCCTAAGTACTTACATGATCTTTTCATGAGACCAATTTTTTTACCAATTTTTGCTACTGTGTAGTCAATATGTTCCTCAAATTTTAACTTATCATCGATATACATATATACCTAGATATTTAATGATTCTTACTTTCTCAATTACTTCATCTTTAATTTTTAAACTGTAATTATCGGAGCTAACGTTAGCTGCTCTAGATATGACCATAAACTTTGTCTTGTTCACATTTAATTGCAGTCGACTCTAATACTATGTCTCCATTGTGAGATTTAATGAAGATTTAGCCCTCTGACGAGATTTGACGTTAAGGCTGCATTTCTTTATTCATTCTGAACGTTTGGAATACACTTTTTTGTTTATTTATTCTTTAAAACGTTCCTGATGATATGGTGACGTATATTTCAAACGCATTCTGTTTATTCCGGCTGTGAAATGGGATTATCCGGAATGTATAAAGAAACGCAGCCTAAATGTTTTGAGATTTACCATATAAAATTAAATCTCGAAAGGCAGTAGATTTAAGTTAAATCTTCGTCAAATCTTCAATAATATTGATCAATAAGTACGATTTGTTGGATGTGGCAACCACAAATTCACATGCCATAAGTCAAATGACATTTGTGTTTTCAATATACAGTTGAGGACATTGAAATCTAGCCTATCATAAAAACATGAATTTTCGTATTTTTAGGGATTTTTATATTTTTGTTAGTTTGGGAGGAAAATTAGTAATACATACATATTTACATAACTTTGGCTGTAATAAATTAAGAAAATATTATTTTAAAAACTAAAAATTTAGAAGAAATGTTTTATAGTAATATCATGCAGTCTTCTCCGCTTTCTATAAGTCATTTACGCGCTGCGACAAAAAATTTATAAATTTCGGTAATGGTTCTGCTTCGATAACATTGCACTGAACATCCTCTAGAACTCAGTTCGTATTCATGATATGCCAAAGGCCCACGATTGGATTTTCGGTTCCCTCCTATGAATAAGAGAGTTCTACAATAATGTTTCTTTCCGCAAATGTTTTTTACCGTTTTGATAATTTTTCTTAAATTCGGGAAAATGATACGGAATATGGTACCATTCTTTACACTTTCCAAACTATATATTATACATACATATTTACCACGAATAAGAAGCCAATAATATTCAGAATTCATATAATGAAATTCCGCTTGGTACCTTCCTTTTGTCTGTCTGCATATCAATGTCCGCAACTGTATTTATAAAATCATACATAAGCAAACGTCAAATATTTAAAAATGTGAACGTCAAGCATATCTCGTTGTGGTAATGGAGACGGTTATGATTTAGCAACTGGATTTATTAAATCTTAATGGAGAAATCTCTCAATGGAGACATAGTATAAAGTTAAAAGCAGGTTTTTTGACAGATATCCCATTGAAAGCTGCTTTTAAGTTTAGAGTCGACTTTATTTTGACTTTAACTACGGGCCAAAATCTAACAAAAGTTGCGTTCCCTAACTCGCAGGAAGTTGCAAGAATTTACAGGAATTTACCAGAAAGCGTTCCCGTACTCGATTCTCTGGCTTCTTTTGCTTTTTGACAGTTTTACAGGTTTTAACCCAGAAAAGTTGGGGAAGGCAACTAAAATTATTTACGTTGAACTGTCAAAAGACCGAATGAAGAAGAGGCGGGTGGTTAACCCAACGAGCAATTATCCACAGTATTTTTGCGAAGAAGTTTCTGAGTAGGTGGCCTTCGGCCGCGTTTTATAACCCTTACTAAGTAGAATTATCCTTTCTGTGTTGCGAAAGAAAGGGGGGCTGAAACCTTTAACGCCATTCACAGTATTTTTGCATATAACTCCTTTCTGCGTAGGCGGCCTTCGGGCGCACTTAGGGATTATAACGCTCACAAAGTAGAATTATTTCTGTGTTACCGAAGAAGAGTGACAGAACACTTTTTGCAGAGAACACCTTTCTGCGTACGCGGCCTTCGGCCGCACTTAGGGATCATAACCCTCACTAAGTAGAATTCTCCTTTGTGTATTGCCGAAGAAGAGGGGCAGAACACCTTTTGCAGAGAACACCTTTCTGCGTAGGCGGCCTTCGGCCGCACTTAGGGATTATAACCCTCACTAAGTAGAATTCTAGGCAGAATCAGTCAGATTTTACTGGAAATCGATCCCGTACTCGGTTCTCTGACTATTGAGAGGACAAAAAAGAGGTAAATACGGTGCTCTCTCTGTGAGAAGTTACCAGTTTTAGTCCGAGAATTTTTTGCTGGTAAATTCTGGTAAATGTGTCAAACGTTCAGCTGTAGTGTGTTTGGCAACCAAATTGTAAACAAAAGAAAAGTGCACTCTGCTAATTCATGTTAAAAAGTATTTAATTACTTGTATAAGTGGATTCTAATGGATTTTAAAGTGTGTTTGGTTATTTACATATGTGAGCTGAATGTGTTTACATACAAAATAAGCAAAAATTTACAACCAAAATTTGGAGGTTATGTTGAAGTTGACAGAAGTTAGCATTTTTTACTAGAAAGCGATCCCATACTTTTCAATGTTAATCTCTCGCTCTGAGCGAATTTGTATTTTTTGACAGTTTGGGTGGGCTTTAGTAGTCAGCCGCACCTTGTTTTTTAAGAAAACCAGGTGGAATTAACAATTGAAACTTAGTCAGGATGTTAAGCGAGGTATCCTCTAAAACATGTATAACTAAAAAATATAAACAATATAATTGTATATAAGTTATTTGTTGTTAAAATTTCTTAAGACGGTCCACTTGATTTCCTTATCAAAGAGTGCATTTGTCACATACTTTCATATATATAAATGCACATAACACTACCTAATAGTTTACACACTTTTATTTTATTTTATCTTGTATATAAATCACTTTAATCCAACTTTTATTAACTTGCAATTACATTACATTGCACCCATATTTACAATCATGATACAATAACACATGGTTGCAAACTGACACATAAGATGTGTTGTAAATATTATTTATTTATTTATTTATTTTTTACAGTCTGTTAGACTTATATTGCAACAAAGATTTAACANTTAGACTTATATTGCAACAAAGATTTAACTATAAGAATGTTTTTTGATTTTAGATTTAAAATGTAAATATTAAGTATTAAATACAAGATACAAAATGCTCTACAGAAATTTTTAAATAACATTATTTCTTTATCACTGCAATTATTTTATGTCAATATAAACGCATGCAATTTTCTGGAAGTTATGTAGACGGTTGGAAAGGCCGAGTTTCCAATCCGCGCTATTCTTTTTGAGTTACTCCATTTATTGATATCTCCTGGGTGGTCAAAAAGGCCGAGTCTCCGATCCACCCAGTCGCGCTTTCGTGACGGTTGACGGTTGGAAAGGCCTAGTTTCCAATCCGCTCGTTTATTGTTTATTATCTAAGGGTCTAGTTAATCGGAAAGGCCGAGTTTCCGATCCGCCTAGTCTCGATATCTTGGTGGTTGGAAAGGCCTAGTTTCCAATCCACGCTATTGTTGATACATCACTATCTTGTAGGCTGCGTTCTACAATAGTCAAATAGCAGCCGCTTGAAAAGAGTGATAGTATCACAATTTTTTATAGCCTCTGGTAATTCATTGAAGCACTTTAAGCCTTTATAGAAAATATTTTTTTTGTCCACTTCTGTTCTATACTTCGGGAGTCTGAAGCTGTTATTCTCTCTCAACAAATATGTATGCGTCTCATTTATATATCGGAGATTATCGCTAAGATAATCCGGCAGGTTGCCCTTCTTAATATTGTACACAAATTTCATAGCGTGGTAAAAAACTTGTTGCTTCACGCTTAACCAATACAAGGTTACAAGCATACATCTTGTTGGTGTGTCATACGGTTTGTTGAGGATGAATCTCATCGCTCGGTTTTGCATTTTTTGCAGCTTATCTACATGGGAGTCCCCCGCTAGGAAGAAAATCGTGGGGCAGTATATAAAGTGCGGTTCTACTATTGACCTGTACACCAACGTTTTATATCTTCTTCCCAAGTACTTACACGATCTCTTTATAAGGCCAATTTTTTTAGCAATCTTGTTGACTGTATACTCAACGTGCTCATCAAACTTTAGTTTGTTGTCTATGTATATTCCTAGGTACTTGACAATTTTCACCTCTTCGATATTTTCATCTTTGATTTTTAATTCACGGCTTATGGAGTCAGCATTTGCCGCTCTGGAAAATACCATAAAGTTAGTCTTTTTCACATTCAGTTTGAGTTTATTTGAACACAGCCATTGATACAAAGAATTAAGATCTTCTTGCATTTTGACAATCGCATTTGGTAGTTCCCTATCACTGATCGTTAACAAGGCATCATCCGCAAAGAGTTTTATTTTACAATGTTTGAGAGAACTTTTAATATCGTTTATATATATATTAAAGAGTAGGGGTGCCAAAACTGAGCCCTGTGGTAATCCGATGTCTACGGCTATCTTACTAGACATCTTTGAATTAACTATTGTTTGTTGCCTACGATTACATAGAAAGCTTCTAAACCAGTCAAGCTCAGTGTTTTTTATACCAATGTATTTTAGTTTATCCAACATTCGGACCCTATCAACGGTTTCAAATGCTCTTTTAAGATCAATAAACACTGCCACTACATTAAGGTGTCTGTTCAGATCTTCTTTCCATTGAGAAAGCACCAGATTCAGCGCAGTCTCACAGGAATGTTTAGCTCTGAATCCAGATTGTTCTTTTATGAGTATTTTATTGGATTCCACATAGTACTGTAGCTGGTTTTTCACAACGGTTTCTAGCATTTTTTCCAAGCTAGGGAGAGTATTGATGGGCCTAAGCTCCTCAGCTTTAACCGTTTTTCTAACTTTCTTGACGGGCACTATTGATGAAATTTTCCATTCTTCCGGTACTGATCCTGTCTGGAGACTCTTATTTATAAGTAGGGCATAGAAATATCCCATATAATCAGCAGAGTCCTTAATAACACCTTCAGAAAGTAGGTTGTTTCCCCCAATTTTCCGCTTAAATTTTTTGGCAATTTGAAGAATGTCTTCCGTTGAGACCTCTTCAAATTTTAGCGTACTTGTGGGAGCTCGTTGCTCGAAAAAATCATAGTTTACACACTCTATATTGGTATGTATTTCCAAAATGCTGTCCACGAAAAAATTATTTAGGTTTTCCGCAATTTCAAAGCTGTCTACGTAGTTGGTGTTATTTATTATCACTTCCCCAATATTTTCTTTGACCTCCGTGTTATTGACTACCTCCTTTAAGTATTTCCACATGAGTCGGCTGTCACCCTTATTTATTTCCACCTTATGCTCTAAGTATTTAATTTTTTTACACCTTACCATTTTCTTATATCTGCTTCTCACTAAATTATATTCACCCCAGTACCCTGACAACACTGCTTTCTCATGGGATTTAGATTTATACTTGTTCATCTCTGTCAATTGCCTATCATACCATTTGTTCCTCTGCCTAATGCGAGTTATTTTTGAGTAAGTCAACTGCCTCATGGCCCACATAATGCAATGAGTAATATACTCCACCATACCGTCAGCATCGAAAAAATTTAAGTTCGAGAAATCGCACTGCCTTAGTAAACTTGTTAAGTTCTCAGGGTTATATCTCTCCCAGGATATTACTTCTGCCTCCTTAGCAAGTGGGTTAAGTTTATTGACATTTAGTCGAAACATTATTGTTTCGTGGTCAGATATTCTATGATCCTCGACCTTTTGACATATAACTCGGTTATCATTGGAATACAACAAGTCAATACGTGTTTCCGAATGTTCCGTCACCCTCGTATTAAAATTTATCAGCTGTTGCATGGCTTGTTGCAAGAAAACATCATTGAGTTTTCTGCTGTAGGTTGATACTACGTTCATGTTTATGTTAAAATCGCCAATGACAACAGTGTTCACAGAATTTTCTGAGATTTCTGCTAAGATATCCTCCATATATGTAACAAATTCCGCATCACTTGAGCTTGGGGAGTGATAAACCACCCCGAGCTGCCACCTGGTATCACAGTGTGTGAGTTGAATAACTATACACCAAACATTTTTGTCTAAAGCCTTGTTAGTTATTGTTTTAAAACCGAGCGTGTTTCGAACGAGTATTATCACTCCCCCTGTGTGTCTACTGTGTGAGTCGCAGCGTATCATCTGATACGCCGGGAACATTATTTCCGTATCCTCTATGTCATCAGTTAGGCATGTTTCGGAACACAAAAGTAGATCCGGGTCGGTAAAATCTATAAGTATTTCTAGCTCAACTTTATTAGCCACTAAACTCTGTATATTGAGATATACGCATTGCAAATATTTGGGTAGCGCTTTCTTTACACCTGGGTGAGACGTAAACTCAACGCTAGGGTCCCCACAAACTTGCTGTAATTGTTAGTAATTTACAGTATTTCTTTTATGCTCGAGCTTTTTCTGGTATACAGGACACTGTCGGTTAAATGTCATATGATTTTCATCAAGCCCTAAGTTAAATTTTTTATTAGCACGAATGCAGTTTATGCATTTGTTTAATGTTTCCTTAGAACATTCCACAGTTTTGTGGTTATCTAAGCACTTGAAACACACCTCATCGGCTTTACATTTCGCAGCTATGTGGTTAAATCCCTTGCATTTGAAACAGAAAGTAACTTCCATTCCATCTTTGACTCTACATTTTTCCCAACCTATGTTTATTTTTTCTCTTGCCAGCACGGCTGCAAAGGCATCTACATCTGTTTCCACTAACGCATTATAATGTTTTGCATTTCCTCTTTTTGTTTCAAAACATTTCAAAATTTTGAAATTACCATTTTTGAAGCATTCATTCTGTTTTTTTATCATATCCGAGAGCTGCTCATTCTCATGTTTAAAGCTCATTCTATATACCATGAACCTTGGCTTGGTTACGTTTGGGATTTTTATTTCATATCTATCACTCATTTTATTCTCTATTGCCTTTTTGATTTTTTCACGCTCAGTTCATTTTCTGTTTGTATTATAGTAGCTACACACGACGAGCATATCCGCGCACATGCGCACATGCTCGTCGTTTGTAGCGTGGTTTGCGAGCATCGCATTGGAAACAAAAACAACAACCTCATTTTGTGTTGATGCTTGCAGTGTGCACATCGCGGATAAATGCATCCAAGCCATGTGCGTTAATTGAATTTTTGATAAATGAGGCTAAATTACTATATGTATATGTATGTACATACATATACATATAGTAATTTAGCCTCATTTATCAAAAATTCAATTAACGCACATGGCTTGGATGCATTTATCCGCGATGTGCACACTGCAAGCATCAACACAAAATGAGGTTGTTGTTTTTGTTTCCAATGCGATGCTCGCAAACCACGCTACAAACGACGGCATGCTCGCTGAAAATCAAAATTTTTAGATTTTTGGCGAGCATGCGCGCAAACCGCCCTACAAACGACGAGCATGTGCGCATGTGCGCATGTGCGCGGATATGCTCGTCGTGTGTAGCTACTGTTACTACAGCCCCACTTTTCCTCCCCTGTACACTATTAATTTTCAAGCCCGAGGGGTCAACATTTTTGTTCAAATCTTCTTTTGTTTTTCCCACTTCCTGCTTCTCTTTTGGTTGTAGAACTAATGGCTTCTCTTTATTTACTTTCGGCGGCCTATTATCTTTCGCAGTGTTACCTTTAAAGAGATCCGCGTAAGTGGCTTTCGCCCGCTGACCTTCTAACGCGTCAGCAGTCACCGATTTCTTTATCTCTTCACAAATTTTTTGTTCTCATGGCTTCGCAAAGATCATGGCTTTGCTTTTTTACGCCGTCAGCTATTGACTTAATTTGGTTCACTTCGAGAATACTCGCCTCACAGGTTTTTTGTACTCTTTGCATTGCATCAATGCGTTCCCCAAATTTTTTCTCTATTGATTGCAAGAGAAGTTTAAGCTCTTTCACTTGCATTTTCTGCGACTCCTGGAAGTCATCATTACACTCTTGGATCTTTTGACTATTTTTCTCTATTGTTAAGTTCATATTTCGGAGCACCTCATCGATGTTATGCATGTATGTGTGACATTGGTTACACATAAAGCGCACAAAGTTGTTTTCTTTGAGTACATTCGCACTGTACTCATCCAATTCAGAGCATTTTTTTGCCCAGTGCCACACTTTACCACACACACCATCACAGCGGATTCCGCTGTCACCGCGAATTGGATTCTTGCACTTATGGCATTTATCCATTTT